ATCTATCCCTAACCTGTTCTTTCAAGTCTCCCAATGGTGCATTCATTGCCACTGTAACTGAGTCCATCTACCTTGCTGATGGTTGCCCTCTTTTCTTCCACCTTTCCCAGCCTCTGGCATCTTCCTATATTGCCACTGCCCAACAGAGGTACCTGCTTGCTTTAGCTGGGTAGCTTGGGTGACCTTCACACCTTGGGTGTCCCTGCTGGGATATTTCTCGCTCATGCCTCCAAGGAACACCCCACCCTTGGCCATGATGAGGTAGCCTAGCAGGACTTGGGGGGGGGGGCTTCAGCATGTTAGAGGGGCCTTAATGTATCTTGTATTTCTTCTCATTTTTTTCTTGTGAAGATTATGATTTTGCTTTCAATATCCAATTTTGTAGGATTTCCCAACCTTTCTTAATTCCTTTCTCTTTTGTGATTTGAAGGTATGTTATTTTCAACCTACCTTCCCTAGAAGTTCATCAAAACCAGCTCTTCTGAAGTCCAATGTGCAGGTCTGACTGTTCTCAATTCCTCTTCCTCTGGATATCATGACCGCTTTATAAACTCCTACAACAGCATCATGTTAGTTTTTCTCGCCTTCCAACAGAATTTCCATGCTCGGATTCTTGGATTTCTGTGCAAGAATACTTTTGTCACTACATACAGTGTAACTTACCCCACCCAGGATCTGTACCTTTTGAATAAATTATAGACTTCCAGGGCTGTGTGCCAATCATGAATAATATCTCACATTTTAGTGATGCCTATCATGTTTGACTTTCTGAGTTAGGTTAGGATCTTTAGTTTCCCCTTGTTTAGTGTTGACTTGAATTTTACATTTATACCAATATAATAATATAACAACTTATGCCAATTTAGGCTGTTTCATGCATGGGACAGCTTGAGGCTCATCTAGATTGTATTAGATCTAGCCCAATACTTCTGCTCCCTTTTCTCTCCTCCCCTTGTACTTCCTGGGAGAAAGGGGAGAAGTTTTGCCTTCCTCCTTTCAGAGCTCTTCATGATGCTGTGGTAGGTTTGTGTCCATTGTGTGATGTTTTTCAAGCTGGTGTCAGGCACCATGGGCTCCTCAGTTGCAACAACCATCACCAGAAGAGGCCTAACGGTTATGATATTGCACTCAGTCCTTTTGCAAGCTCTGTGGTGGGTAGATCCTGGCCTAGCCCTGTCAACTGCAGCAGAACTTCTTCCAATACAGCAGCCTTGGGTCCTCCATAGATGAACTGAATGTAGACTCCTTTCCTGTGTGACATTAGTAGCCACCTGTCAGATAGAAATTCAGTAGCCAAGACATTCCTTGCTGGAAAATGATTTAAGTATGCAGAGCTACCAAATCTGGGCTACAAAAAATCAGGAGGACCATTACATTGCAGCACAGACTTGGAGTGTTATGTCTCTTTGCTACCATCTAGGGTCATATGGAGTTCTGCAGTCTACATCTGTAGTCTTTACTTAAGAACTTGGAGTGGAAGAAGCAGTGCTGGACTCCTAACACACGTGCGAGCATTAAATTAAGCTGATTAATGTTTCCCCACCTCTGTTTTCATGCCTTCTTGTTTCCCAGGTGTTTGGAGAGAATAAACCAGTGTCCTATGGAGAGAGCAGGAACAAATGCCGCTGCTTGCTCACTGGCCATTTTCCCTTAGCTGTAACAGAGAGAGACAGGGTTAATCATTGGATTAGCACAGTGGTGGGGTTGGCCTAAATTTGCCCACACTTTCGAACCATCCACCAAAAGGAAGCCAAGGGGCAGGAAAAGGAACAGGAAGCTGCTGCCAACTTCTTGGCTTCCTTTGGATAGCTAAGCCCAGATAGTGCATTCCAGTGGGAGTGATCAGGTTAGGGAGATAATTGGACATCATCACTGTGCAGGCCTTCCTGTCAGGAAAAGAAAAAGTTGGCTGATTGTGTGAAGGTCATAGCTGCCCCTCCCTCTCTCTGCAGTCTGCTTCTTTGGAAGCAGTGCTAGGGTGAGAAAGAGAAGGACGCTGTAACTGCTCCTCTGCTCTCTTTTGCTGTGGCTGGGGTGGGGGTGGGTGAACGCAGGTATGGCCTCTGCAGTTCTGCACAGGTTCACCTCAGTTCTCCCATTAAGCTGCCAGGGGATCACCCTCCTCTCCACTGGGCCAAGCAGTGGACAAGCAGTCAGCAGGCCAAGATTGCCTTCACCTGGCAGCTGTGGAAGGATCAGCTTCCTTGGGAAATGTAGCAGGGATGTTTGAGCCACCCAGAGTCCCAGGAGTGGTGCTCTGCAGTCTGAGGAGAGGAGAATTGGGAGGGAGAGTGCCAAAGAAGCCAGTTCTTCCTGGACAGGGTAGAGCCTTGGGTGAGGTGGCCCCCCCTCCCCCCCCCCCCGTGTGCAGGGTAATGAGGTGGCCTCACTTTCCTCAGTTACCCCCCTGTCGTGACCAAGGCTGCTTCCTTGCCCATTTCCAGGCAGCAGGCAGGCTCCGAAGCCCCAGGCAGGAGAAGGAAGAAAGAGGACCAGGTACTGGTGGCATTGCTTCTCCCTTAGCGGTTGAGCGCAGCGCACAACACAATTCTGTGCACGTGTAAAGAGGCTGCTCAGACTTCAAAGAAAAACAGTTAACGCTGGATAAACGTCCGAGTAGCTTCTAGGCACCCAGGTTCAAATTAACCCCTATTGAATGAGCCACTCTTGATGGGAAAGATGCCAAGAAGATAGTCGGGCGTTTGTACGTGCGAGTGAGCAACAGGGGAGAATGCCTTGAGAGACCCTGCCTTTAGGAAAAGCCCAAGCGAAAGTGTCTCCAGGCAAAGAAGGGGGTGGTTCCATCTGTGGGGGAAGTTCAAACCCCCCCCCCCCCCCGCGGGTGCAGCTTGAGAGCCGCCTTAGGCGTTAGTGCTTCTCCTGCTCCCCTGCCTCGCCTGGACTTGCCATCTGCGGGCGGTGCTGTTTGCTGGCCGGCTCAGGTTCCGCCATGACCCGAAGAGCTCCGGGGCAGGGTTGAGGTCCTCCTTTTCCTCTCTGGGGACGCGGGACTTTCCTGCTGATTTAGTGCCTCTTCTCCTCTGACGGTATCCAACTCCTGGCAGAGAGCCTCTCCGTTTCCACAGCGCTGGTTATCCTTCGCTTAAGGCTCTGGCCCATCGGGGGCTTCGGCGCCTTCCCTACATTGCGAGTCTGGCTAACGTGGGCCGAAGAAAACGCCGCCGCCCAGCTAAAGCGGCTTGAATTTGCCTCTGGCATTTGCCCACCCTTCGGATGGACCCAGAGAGACTCCCTTGCAGTCGGGGCTCAGCTGGGGCCCTGGCCAGAATTTCAGGGGCTGTCCTGAAAGGACTTATGGGTTACCTGGAAGCTTTCGTCGTGCTGATGAGAACCTTTCGCCCCTTGGAGCACGTGCAGAGCGCACTTTCAGCTTCGCTGAGTAACTGCACCATCCCCGCTTATAATCAAGGGCTTTGGTTAGGTAAACACAAGAGCAAAACATTTTCGACTGACCTGACGCTGCACAGCCATTCCGAGACAGGTTTCCCCTGGATTTCTCCCATCGCTAAGTGTGGCTATACACCCACGACTCAAGGAAAAGAGCCAAGACCCGGGGCTTGAAGCTTACTTCGAAGAAACCCGCCATGACTCGGCAAAGTTTCGCTGCCTTCCGAGCCAAGGGGGGAATTGGTGTTTGCAGGGCTTTACTCTTGAGGATGTGGGGGTAACTCTAAAGCTGTAGGCAAGATTGTTTGAGCTAAAAAACAACAACAACCCAAAACAACACATGTCGGATAGGAAAAGGAGCAAGTTCCTGTCCCTTTTCGGAACTTCTTGGTCACCGGCTGGAAGCCCCCTGTAGTGACTGTAGAGTTTCAGGGCAGTCATCTGGGGAGGGGGTCGCTGGCAACCTCGCAGTGAAACTCCAGCTGGAGTGTCAGAAACGCTACGATCTGCCGAGCTGGAGCGAACTGCTGATGTCTTCAAATCTGCGCTGTCCTTCTGGGTTGGTCAAAGGGTTCTTCCCTGAGCGGAACCACAGGCTGGAGAGCTCCCTTCGACCGAGATGTCCAACCGCTGTGCCAGCCACCTCGGCCCACCATCTTCGGCCTTTTTGGAAGAAGGGGCGGCTGTAGTGACAGCCGGAGGGCGCCGAGGAGCCATGCTTGGCGATGCTCGGCGATCGCCCATCTCCGAGTCGGGCTGGGGTGCCTTTTTCGGCTGCAGCGGAGGTCCCACAGATGTTCAAGAAACTTGGGGTTAGACGTCAGTCTGAGTCAAGGAGACGAGGCAAAAGAATCGTACTGATCACCAAGTTAAACTGATGCATGCTAAACTCTATCCTTAAACTAAGCGAATTCTGAGCACATGGCACTTTACCTTTCCAAACTTCTCCGTTAGGGATAACTTGAACAGAGGGAAAAAATGACTAGAATTTAATCTCAGAACACAGGGGTAAAGATTAGTACTTTGCCAACATATCTTGTACACAGATCTAGTGGTTTGGAATAATACAACACAAAACCTCCACTGGGAGGTTCTTCTGAGTAGTTACATCTATAGACCAGTCTGTAGAATCCAACCCTAACAGCATTTTCTCCCCATTCCTCTTCTTGAGGACGTCCTTTGAATGGGAAAGAAGTTGAGACGTTTGGCTGAGATTTGAATTATTTGAGCTTTAAAGATGTTAAGGTCTGCAAGCTTTCTCTGAAGCATACTAGCTGTGTTCATACAATACAGTTAAGCTGCTTTCTGGATTAAAGCATTTTCTGCAGATTCCCACAATAAACTGAATAATAAACTACCCAAGTGGATAAGAATAACATTCTACCCCCCATCTTAAAGATAAACATCTACCAAGTTTTAGCATATCGTCAGAAAGCATCTGCTAGGACTTTAACAGATCTAGTTAACTGTGTGGTGTGAGCACAATTTATGTAAATGTCTTTCTGACCCAGGAATCTGACTTAACTGGGCTGGGTGTGCAGCTGGAGAGATGTTCTCCGTGGAGCACCTCATCGGTAAACATTATTAAGGGCCCATAAGTAATCTGTTTTTTGAATACCATGAGTACATATATCTATTTCTCCATCCCTCCACATTGTTTCAAATTATGATATAAATAATGGAAGAAAACGTCAACAGATTTTACAATGCAGAGCTGAGAAGCTCAGCTGACTTTAAGGGGTCTGGCTGGGTCCTACAGAAAAAAGGGAGGAATCGATTTATTGGAAGGAGTTAATATTCATTTACTATCCAGTTTAAGAGGGAGGGGGGAAACTCGACCGTGAGGCTGAAGCTGTGCCGTGTTTTAATTTCCAACTGGAAAAATCTGTGGAAGCCATGGCACGTTTTTCCGTCAAAAAAGCAGCAGCCATTGACAGCCCCAGACGGTTCTTTGCCGACGCCCCGCTCCGATTCTGCTTGCTCCGGCGAAGGCGGTTGTCTGACTGACCAAAGCCGCCATTCTTAGAGATCAAAGCGGGGCCTGTCAGGCAGGGAAAGCAGGGAACATTCTGTCCCCACCAAAAATATGTGCCGCTTTCCTCCCGCGGCCACCCGAGCGAACACAGTCGGAAGGGGGGTCCACGGAACGCGTCCACCCCGGCTTCCCGTGAGTGGATTCGACTCAGAAGTTGCTGGGAGGCAGGGAGGTAAGGAAGGAAGGAGGCGGGCGGGCAGAGCTGCCTGCTGTGCCCCTCCAAGAGCCAAGGAGCAGCTGCTAGGGCGCCGAGGTGGGAGGACGATGCCCCGCCTCGGCACAGGTGACACCAACCACGGGGAAAGGAGCGAGGAACAGCCGGCCAAACCCGAGTTACGTACCCGGCGTCAAACTATAATCTAAGGATTCACACACACACGTGTGTTTCGGCACCTTTTGCTTGGGAGACAGGAAGCCTTAAGGTTGGCGCTTAAAACTTTCTAGCTGGGCTCCCAGTCCTCTGGAACTGGAGAAGCTGCGTGCTTTATCCCTGGGTGGGCCGAGAATGTTCTTACTCGGCAGTAACGCTGCAGGACCCCTTGCACTGACTTCCAAGCAAATGTCTCCATTCAGCTTCTCGGGTCCCCCAGCCCCCTCCAGCAGAAAGCAGCTCTCCCGTAGCTCAACAGTGCTCCCTTCTTCCAGCGAACAAGGGGTTGGGTTCGGATTGTTTTCCCGGACAGGCCTAGATCTGATCTGCAGCTCGCGTTCAGACGACACTCCGCTCCGCACATTCCAGGACAAGGCCCAGACCTCTAATAGGGGATCCCAAATCCCTTTCTCCAAATTTCCTTTCAAGCAACTGGGGGCGGCGGCGGCGGCGGCG